ATGCAAAATACAAAAAAGTTTCTAGCTTTGACTGCTGCATCAGAACAAACTGTTGGTGAGTAAAATTAATTCATCTTTATTTTTATCTCAGTCATAGAATGTTTGGATTAAGGTAAAATTCCCAATTCAGTTATTTTTTCTTTTTCTTCATGAGTTTAATTCTTCAGTAGAGGAAATTATCACATTAGGTAGGATTATATGGAACTACCTTAAGGTTAGGTATGTTTCAGAGTTTTTAAGAACTTATATCTGCTCAAGGGTAGGGGGACAAGGCAGTGAAAAATTGGGAAAAAGACAAAGTATGTGTTTGCCTTTACTTCCAGTGTGTTTTAGATGCCTCTAGACACCCAGTTTATGCAGGCAGTTCCCTAATGGCCGAGGATCCTCCCACAAAGTATCTCACTCAGGCCTCTGCAACCCCTTTCATAAAAATCCATTACTGATTTGTCCTATTTCTTGTTCTCTAACAAACCTGCTCTTTTGAGACCAGTCCATTAATTTTGCACACATGTTTCTATTTTCTCCCTTGTGTGTATGTATATTTGTGATTTCTCTCCTCTTCATCTTCCTTTTTCTTCTCCTCCTTCTTATTTTTCTTTTTATATAGAACTATTATGGAGTCATGTAATCTATTTAACTTACTTACCTGGTATATAGTGGTGAAAATTTTAGGGATTTGGGAAGCTGTTGGTATTTTTTGGCAGGAAACTTTTGAAATCCTTTAACCTATCCTATATAATAAAAGACTAATATGCAAATCGACTGAATGGTGGAATGACGGGTCTCTATGATGTGCACTGGCCACCAGGAGGCAGATGCTCAACGCAGGAACTGCCCCCTGGTGGTCAGTGCGCTCCCACAGGGGGAGCGCCGCTCAGCCAGAAGCTGGGCTCACAACTGGCGAGTGCAGCAGCAGTAGCGGGAGCCTCTCCAGCTTCTGTGGCAGCGCTAAGGATGTCCAACTTCTGGCTTAGGCCCGCTCCCTGTGAGGAGCGGGCGTAAGCCATCAATCAGACATCCCCCAAGGGCTCCTGGACTGTGAGAGGGCACAGGCCAGGCTAAGGCACCCCCACGAGTGCATGAATTTCGTGCACTGGGCCTCTAGTATCACATAAGTGGTCATCTAGTATTGCTTGAGCATTAGACTGGCTCTAAGCAGGGACCTCTGATTTCTCTGAGAATTCTGGAATCCATTTTTTTTTTTTTAAACAAAAGGAGTGTCTAACACTTTAGAATCCCAGGAACCTGCAACTCTTTAGCATGAACTTTGATGTGGATGAAATTCCTTTAGGTCTATTCCTTTCCTGCCCCAGCATTGAGAGCTCAGAAGTTGCTTGGGTCTATCTCATGCAGAGAGAGAATGATGCTGACCAATTCTGCCTATAGTGAGCTTAGTAGTCCCTCCAAAATTTATGTCTACATGGAACCTCAGAATGTGACCTTGTTTGGAAATAGGATCTCTGCATATAGAGGCCCGGAGCATGAAATTCGTGCGGGGGGAGGGGGGTGGTCCCTCAGCCTGGCATGCACCTTACCAATCCGGGACCCCTCAGGGGATGTCCAACTGCCGGTTTAG